CCTATTATTTCTAATAACTAGCATTAAATTTAGCATGCATACTCGCACAACACTTTGCTCTGCTTTTCACTCACTCACTATACCAGTTTAAAATGCTTTGTCCTTTTGAGCCTTCTCTCTAGGTTCGTATTGTCGAGGAGCTGGATAGCCTCGACGTTTACATGATGACGGAGTCATTGTTCATGGCTCCCTGCATATTTCTTGATTATCTGATTGACGTCTTCCATCTTGAGGTCCCGGTGAAGATCGTTGTTCCTAACGTACCAAGGCGCATCTACGATGTTCCTCAGCACTTTATTCTGGAATACCTGGATTACTTTGATGTTACTAGGCTTGGCACAGCCCCAGAGTTGGCAGCCATAGGTCCATACTGGCCTTAATATTTGTTTATACATTAGGAGTTTATTATTTATGGATAGAGAGGAATGCCTTCCCATCAACCAATACATTTTCTTGTAGCGGATGCCTAGTTCTTCTCTTTTCTTCGTCACGTGAGCTTTCCAGCGAAGCTTCGCATCAAGAGTGATCCCCAAGTACATTGCTGATGTTGCAATAGGCACTTGGACATGATTTATTCTAATTGGAATATTATTAATTCTTCTATTGGTAAAAGATATATGGACTGATTTATTCTCATTCAGCTTAATTTTCCATTTTTTTGGTCCATTTATGGATTTTATTTATTGAATTTTGTAGTTTTTCCGTAGCTTCTTCGACGGTGTCACCTACTGCTAAGACAGCAGTGTCATCTGCAAAGGTAGCTATGGTGTCGTCTTCTAGTTCAGGTATATCACACGTGTATATTAGGTATAGGACTGGACTTAATACACTCCCTTGTGGAACACCTGCTTCAATATCCTTGAGATCAGTGTATGCATCTTCTTGTTTAACTCTAAAATGTCTGTTCGCTAGATATGATTGTAATATATTTGAATATTGTTTAGGCATGAATGATAAAAACTCAAATATTATTGTAATTAAACTGTCAACTCTGTTTATACATTTTCTCATATCATAATTGATAGAGAATAACCGGTTACTTCATGTTAAGAACTTCTATAGGCTAACATGAATAGAGAATTTAAGTAAAGTTTACCAATCTTTATGATTATCAGCGACAAACAGTTCTATTATGTCTTTCGACCATTTCGTCTGATTGCGGATGAAAAGACGTAGTGCGAATTTTCTTACCCAATATCCAAAATTGCTATTAATTCTTGCCATAATTCTGATTCAAAATGTCGTCCTTGATCAGAATTTAACTCTAAAGGAACTCCATTTCTTGATACTAAGTATGTTATGAATGCTTCTGCTACTGTAGCCGCTTCTTGATTAGTAAGGGGTGCAATTTCAGGCCATTTAGAAAAATAATCCATTGCGATCATTAAGTACTTGTTTCCGTTCTCTGTCATCGGAAGTGGACCGAAGAATATTCACTACAAGTCGTTTAAAGACTCTCTGGAAAGATATCGTGCCATTTTACCACTACTTCTAGGGCCTTTCTACCGTTACATATATCGCATTTTTTACACCCATATTCTCCATCTCGGTGACAATTGATCCAGTAAAATCTTAAACTCTGGCCAGTGCTTTATTGACTCCAAAATGTCTCCCAGAAAGGTTGGTATGAAGTTCTTGCAACACACTTTTAATGTGTGATTTTATTAGTAGAGATAGTGCAAGAACTCCTGATCACGGCGCAGTAGACGAAATTTGGTTTAGTCCCCACTTCCATGCGAAACGAATTCTACTATGCACTGTATAATTCCACTTGCAATAGAACCTTTCTGGCTTTACGTGAATTTGACTCCGCCTTCGCGCAGCTCCATGGTCAGGAGTGTTTGAACTATCTTTACCTCTTATTGAACTGTTCCTATTCCATCGGGACTTTCCTATTTCCGATATAATAGACCAGTGAAAAATACAGAGATCCCCATTGAACCCAGTACGCCTTTATAGTTCCACTGTATTTGGTTCTTTTTAAGGTTTTCCAGGGAAGTCTGACCATTATCTTCTTCATGTTTAACTGTGGTTACCTGGAGACTTACTTCTATGGTTACATTCTCTTTTAATTATCCATTTAAGGGAGAGCGCCCACCAAACTAGCATGGCAAGTGGCAAGTAGCAAGTAGCGCGCGTCTAGCATGTTACTTAAAATGTAACCAATAAAAACGAATTATTTAGCGCACACCAAAGTGACAATGACGTCATTCATTCTAGTCATTCGTTTGCATAGTTTACATTTTAAGTAACATGCTAGACGCGTACTACTTGCTAATTGCCACTTGCCATGCCAGTTTGGTGGGCGCTCTCACTAATATCTACATTTTGTAAAATTGACAACTGTTCTCTTAACTTTTTTATTTCATTTTTACTAATCGCTAGTTGCTCCTTCTAATTAGCAACTTCAGATTCCAAAGTATCTTTTTCTTTTCTACAGTTGGTTATGGGTTATCTCTACTAGTATTTCTAGTAGGACTATGTGCCGAGCTGATACAGTAGCTTATAGGTAATACACAAAGGCTAGCATACCTGTGTATTACGGGGCCCTAAAAAGGACTCCTACAGCATCGTTGGAAGTTCTGCAGAATCTACCACCACTTTTATCTTTACACAGGCCGAAGCCAGATCAGTGATGTACAGATTAATCCATAGTCAGCGATATATAAGCCAGATGCATGGTGCTGACAACAGAAACATCGGAGGGTGTGGGAGCCGGTATAGTAGAAACAAATCAAAGGATTCATTTCCCGGTAAGTCTATCTAAGGATGTGACAGTTTTTCAGGCATAAATAACGGCAATCTATCACTGCGCGGAAGAAATAGAAAGGCAGAAAAGAACGTTCCGTTCAGTTCTCATCTTGACAGATAGTCAGGTAGCGCTTAAGGCACTTTATTCTGTAGAGGTCAAATCTAAGCTAGTATGGGATTGTGTGTGTGCCCTAAATAAATTAGGAGACCGTAGCAAGATTACGGTAGCTTAGGTACCGGGGCACGAGGGTCACAAGAGCAATGAAAAAGTAGATGAAATGGCCAAACAAGGCTCATCAATGCCAGTCATTAGACCGGAACCCTTCTGTGGCGTTGCAAAGACTGTAACAAGAACGGCTACAAGCAAGTGAGTAGCTCACAAATCCCTGGAATGATGGAGGAATTCACCAGGACAAAGACAGGCGAAACAGTTCGTTACAGAACATTTGCCAAAATTTACTGCAGACCTAGTAAGCAAAGACAGGAAAACAGTCAAAGCCATAGTAGGTCTTCTAACAGGGCATAGTAAGCTAAATATGTACTTAAAGCTAACGGGATTATCAGATAATGACCTGTATAGATCCTGTCACCTCTAGGAAGAAACAGCAGAGCACATTCTATGTCAATATGACAGTCTGGCAAATGTGCGGTTCTTTGTATTAGGAGAAGAAAAGCCACCGGCAAATAGCTACATGGAAGGTAGTCTCGAAGATATTAAACTTTTTAAAAAGAGTCAGGCTAGAGAATGCTATCTAAGATTAGAGGACCATAATAGATCTGGAAAGATCCTAGTGAAATAGGCCAAAAGGCCACTTCTCTAAATCTATCTATCTATATATGTGACAAGCTTCTGGATATCGATCTAGGCGAACTTCTGACGTTATTCTTCGGTTCTGCTGTCCTTGTCTAGGATCGACTTTTGCAATTATTTCAAAAATGTCCTGTTCTTCCTCAATTAAAACATCTGTTTTCTTTTAGAGTTTTTAGTTAAAAAATTTTCAGTGTGCTGAAAATTTGGGATAAAATAGGTAATTCGTTATCTGTGGTTGTGACTTCTTTATTTTCTCGAACTATTTTTTTTTTTTCATTTTTGGGCAAAATCTGAAAATGCTTTAAGCATTTTCAGATTTTGCCCAAAAATAAAATGCAGGAAGATTAAACACAAAATGATATCACAAAAGAAGCAAGTAAAGTTAGAAAAATAAACCTTTAAAAACTAATTGTAAAGAATATCGCAATCTCTGATGCCAACCAGTAATATTTTGTGTATTTGTCTGATATACCCTGAACTTTAGCTAACCTCACAAAAAAAATCAAACAGGGTAAGATCTGGTGATCTCGGTAACCATTCTATGGGCTCACGTTATTTAATACATTGTCCGGAAAAAACCTTGTTTAAATAATTTTTGAGCTTGCGTGAATAATGAGACGAAGCATCGTCTTGCTGGAAAATAATGTCTTGATGGAAATCTTGTTGAGTGATTTTGTGATTATGTCGGTTATTGCACCTATTAGTCCATTCTCCAACATATTAAAGTATTTTTCGTCATTTAAATGTTCAATGAATATTAAGACCACAAAATAATTACCCAATACAGCACATACAAACGGAACAAACGAGTATTTGCATCAGACGAGTACAAGACATTCTGACTGTGGATTCACTGGATGTACCATTCAAATAAAACGATTAATTTGTACAATCAAAGATAGGTTATTTTTACTATTTAATCAGTTAATAAATAGGAAAAGATATTAGCGTATTTATATTTTTATAATCTGAAAACTTATCAAACTTTGATACCATTAGGGATTAGAACAAGTTCAAAAATCGACGTGTTCAAACGAAACAAAATCGACACAAAATATACGTAAATAGCCTGAAACTATTATATATATATATATATATATATATATATATATATATATTATATATTATATATATAGAAAGATTTATGCTCTAGCATAAAGAGAAGAATAAATAAAAATAGAAAAGACAAAAAGATCACGCTGTTGTTAAACGTTTTTAAAATTGAAGAAAACATAAATGTTTAAAATGTAAAGTGCTTTTAAATTTTATCGATATTTTATTTTTATTTTTGCAAAATCTACTTTTTTACTTAGTTTTATTGATTTTGGTAACTGGCCTAATTTAATGGTGGCCGATTGCCAAAAAACACCAGATGCAAATTTACATTTATCAATAAAAGTAAATATTTCAATAATATAATTTATTATTTTATTTGCAGATATCATCCTATATACGAAGCTGACTCTAGATGTGTTGGATCAGTATATTATCATCAACCGCAGCGACCAAAACAAGAGTGTTTGTATCAACGATTTGGTGCCCTTAATATGACTTAAAAATGGTGGAAAAGTACATTTTAGTGATGGATATGTGCAAATTTGTGATCCTATTAGTGTTATACTTTTCGTCTTGTTCGTGTTATCCCGCAAAACCCTTAAACGAAAGATCGCCGGATCTCACCTGGGAAGCCTGGTTGTTAGTCGACGACCAAAACCAAAATAAACAACTGTCAGACGGAGTGCTACGCAGAAGAATAACCCCTAAATCAGTTTTTATAGCACCAACTTTTAGCCCAGAATCTTTACCAGCTTGTGCAGAAGGTTATAGTTCGGATCATTTGGGCAGGTGTATAAAAATTATTAAACTGGACCAAGCTGCTCAGTACGAGTTTCTTATAGAAAAGTTGAAAGAGAAATTTACCCCAGTGGATTATGATGACGACTATTACGACGAGGAGCTTCCTACCCCTGGACCTTTTCAAGTAAATATCCCTCTCGATACGCAAAGTGATCAGAGCGATGATACTATTGAAGAATCAGACGTTGCTATTATAGTATCTCCTACAAAACCTCAGTATAGTATCCAAAAAGGTAATGTAGACAAAAGAGATGGTGATACAGCAGAGATAGCAGATCAAGATCTTCAAGAAGAGCAGCTTAAGCATCTTGCCGAAACCACTACTACCACTATAATACCCTCAACGGAAAAGATGACAACTTTTCTAACCCAAACTACTGACGGGATAACAGAGACAACTGAACCTATTATTAGTACAACAATAATTAGTACTACAGTTGCAGAAACTACTTTAAACACTGATTGGACAACAGAAACTAAGATGACAACCTCATCACCAAAACCAGTATCTGTGGACTCTTCTGTAGCTGAAGCTAATATAGTGCGGTTTCCTGACGATGCAGAACCAAAAACTCATGTGAGATTTCCTAGTGCTATTGGTGCGGAAGCCACCCAAATTCCTCCTTCTGTAAATATCGATCCCCGATCTCTCGACACCCGACAGTCTGATGAACCTATCGTTGATTTCGATTTGATAAACTTCCGAGAACCACAGCCTCAAGAGAACAATTCGAATAGAAGAAACCGAGAGAAAAACAACGGGTTGTTTTTTCTACCACCAAGATGGACTGACAGCACATATCAGCGACCGGTGGTCCTAAGGTTCTCCAGAAAACACGGTTATCTGGACATGGAACAATTCAAAAAACCAAACTACTACAGGTCTATTCCCACTGATGATTTTGCTTACCTGTTCAAATTCAAACATAAACAGTCAGATCAGAGGTGATCATTTATGTAATTACTTTTTGTAATGTATAGGTATTTATCTTGTGTATAGATTAGAATATTTTACTGTATCAGTACCTTATATTTCGATGTTTATTAGGGTGGTTTTATGTAAAACTGTAGAAGTGAGAAAGCTTTAAATCGAATATGTGCCTCTAAGGTTCTATTGAGAAATTATTTAAAAACTATTTGCTTCTAGCACTGTAATTTTGTAAGTTTTTAGAAAAATAGTACCCATTATATTGTTTTTATTAATGAAATTAGCTGTTTTGTAACTCAATTTATAAAATAAATATTAATTAAATTTTATCAAAGATGTGCTCTTGCAGACGTTTCCAGTCATCTGACTTTTTATTCTGGTAATAATGTATTGGTAAAAGTATAAATTATCCCTTATCCTTATACTTTTTCTATAGATAACTAAAGTAATTATGTAACGTCTTCTATAAATAATTTTAAATCGTTGTATATTGATTAACTTATTATTTCATCATATACAGAGTAAACCAAAAGACTTCTTCTTCTTTGTCAACCATTTTCCATCCACTCCTGAATGTAGGTCTCTCCCAATTGCTTTCATCTTTCTCTATCTTGCGCCAATCTAATCCACTGTGTGCCTGCCACTGCTCTTATGTCATCTACCCATCTTTTTGAGGTCTTCCCATCCTTCTTGTTGTCGTCCTTGGTTTCCATTCTAGAATTCTCTGTGTCCACCTGTTGTCATTATATCGGGCTAAGTAACCTGCCCAGCGGCATTTCATTTTTGTAATTTCTTCCACAATATCCCTAATCTTCATTCTACGTCTTATCTCGGTGTTTCTAATCTTGTCTCTTGGTGATATTCCAAGCATGATTCGTTCCATTGCTCTTTGCGTTGTTTCTAATTTTTTAACAGATTTTTGGTAAGGGCTACTGTCTCCAAGCCGTAGGTACAAACTGGTAATATGCATGTATTATACACCTTTTTCTTTAAGGCAACATGTTCCTGCCTGTTCCACTTCAGCCATGCTATACTAACCGATAAATCCGTTCTTATTCTGTGTCCAATGCATGCTTTCCGAAGATTAATCAACGTTAGTACCTTCATCTTTATACCTATATATGTTAAAATTATTATTCACGTCTCTCTCTCTCTCTCTCTGTCTCCAGTGGTGCTACAGCCCAAATCGCGCCTTGGTATTCTCCAAAATTTGCCTCCAACCTTGCCCGTCCGTTTTTTACGCGTCGGCTGTCATTTCGTTCTCCCGCCTTTTTCGTTGCCTTTAGTTTTGGCTTGCACCCTCAATTTTACTATTTAAGGATCTTTTCGGCAATCTATCGGTCTTCGTTTTTACTACATGACCAATCCATCATGACCATCTAATTCTCTGAAGTTTCACAAATTCTGAGGTCGGTGTCAATTTGAACAGTTAGGACTAGACTACATTTTCGTTATAAATATCGTCGTATAAATATATATATCGTCGTATATAAATTTCGTCCAAATATCTTCCTTTCAGGAAGATTTTTGGACTTTTTTTTTCGAAGATTCCCAGGTTTCTTCTTGTAGTTTGTGTCATCCGTAACATATTATTGGTCTGATAACAGTTTTGTAAACTCTGATTTTAGATCTGCAGAGTGTAGTTTTGGAGTGGAACACGAAAATTGTGAGTGAAAAATAAGCTTTGCTTCCCTTTACTATTCTTCTTTGAATTTCTAGTTTTTCTGTTCTATCCATGCTTTATTCAACACCCAGATCCATGATACTATGATTAACAAGATAGGATCTTCCCGTAGCACAAAATCGGTTGTGTTCGCGCATGCCGTCATTGGAGAGTAGAATTTGAATTATTGTTAAAGTTAAATGGGATTTGTATGCATTGTGTGATGAAATAATTACAATAATCGTACACATAAGGATATGTCCAAACTATTTATTAAAGATTATTTATTGATACATACAAAAAACTGACATTTCGAACGTCCAACTCTCCAATGACGTCACGACTTATGCGCAATATCTTATCTTCTTAGTCATAGCACAGAATAATAAACAAACAGAATGCCCACTCTCCACCAAAAATTAAGTACGCGCATCTCCTTCGCACAGACGTTCCGCCATGTTTTACGAGGATTTTAAAGGGAATCAGTGTTGTTTATGTGGTGTGCATGAAAAAAAAAACAGGTTTATTTGACTTACGGCAATCATAGACATACTATAAGTACAATTATATTAACAGTTTTAAATATAATAATATAAATATAATATAATTAAACATAAATGTAAACAATTGCATAACCTCACAAATCATATGTTTGTGTGCTAAAACATGGCGCGCGTGCTGAAAAACTTCAAAGGCGGCATCTGAGAGTGGCCCTTCGATTGTTTATTATTCTGTGGTCATAGTATCATGCCCAGATCTGTGAAACTTTCTACTGTTTCAATGTCGTCTTCTAATTTAACTTTACGTCTGTTTTCCTTAACTCTTGCCTGTGTTAGCTTTTTTGTCTTTTGAATATTTATTTTTTGTCTGGTCTCTTTTGACTCTATTTTCAATTGTGAATATATTTCTGCCTCCTTTTCCGTCCTGCTGACGTCATCGACATAGGCAGCAATCTGTACTCATTTATTTGTTAGGAGATTAGCTTTTCCTATATTTGACTGTCTTATCACATGTTTAAGAGTCAGGTTGAACAGTGTCCGTGCCAGCCCGTCTTCTTTTTTAATCCTTTGCCTATTGAAAACTTTTCAGTGAGCTCATTTTCCCTCTGACAGTTGCTGCTGTGTTTTTGAGGGAACTTGTGTCTGCTAATTGAGTGGTAGGCCTGTTTAAAATCTATGAATATGATGTGGATGTCAATGTCATATTTCCATGAGTTGTTTAGAATAAAAAAGAAGCGAGGTGAAAATAATGCACCTTACTTATTTTTATATATCGCGTAATGTTTTTTCTTTGTTCTCTTATCATCATCAGCCTCTATCAATCCACTGCTGGACATAGGCCTCCCCTGTTTGTCTCCAAAGTGTTCTATCTTGTGCTTGCTGTACCCAGTTTTTTATTGTCTTTCGTAAGTCGTCTTGCCATCGTGTTGGTGGTCTTCCTTTGCTACGTTTATCGGCTCTCCATTCAATTAGTTTGCGAGTCCGTCCTTCATTCTGGCAACGTGTCCAGCATATTTCCATTTTAAGTTACAGCTTCTTTCAATGACGTCTATGACTTTGGTCTTAGCTCGTAGATCTTCGTTTCCAATCCTGTCTTGCAGAGTGGCCCCTATCATTGATCCCTCCATTCTTCTCTGCGCTTCTCTTAGTTTTTGTGCGTTTTTCTTTGTGAGCGATAATGTTTCTGCGCCATAGGTCATCACCGGTAACACGCATTGGTCGAAAACTGTTTTCTTCATATTAGTTGGGATGTCACTCTTAAAAAAAGATCTCCGTATGCTGCCCATCCTTGTCCTTGTTTGGGATTGTTCTCTTCTAAAGTCTATTATATGATTAGTTTTGTAATGGATCCATAGAGTCTACTTTCAATAGACTATTTATAACATAAACTTTTATCAAATACTGGTTGTCCTGTTCAACTTATTTATTTAAGCTGCCAATTGAACCACTAACGTATAGAATATTTTAACGCTTTCTTACGATCTGCGACCACCATGTATACTGAATGTTTTGTATCGTTAACTGATCGTGTAAAGTATGAGTTTATTTGAGTTCAATTTGATTTTCGGTTAATTTAATCAACTCATCGAATCCGAAGAAGTGAACCAAGAAAATGTTTATTTTTATACATACATTACAGCTGTTCCATTTTTTGTTTTCACTGTGATAGGAATATTTTAAAAATTTCACCTTCATTCTTAGGGTACTTGCCATAAAATGGAGGGCTTTTAAAAACTTTTAATTTAGAACAACACGTACCATTTTAAGTTATAGTATAATTTTTACTTTGATTGCATTTTTGAGTAAACCAAGCGTTAGATTTTAGTAGGAAACGGAAGTGTTTGCAATTCATCTTATTTATTTGAAGCCTTGCATCTTGCAACTAAATTAAATGAGTTAGAGACATTTGTAAAGGATGAGTTGCGTTTAACAGATGCATAGTAAAGTGCTTTTTAACCCAATAAAAATTATGTCCAGGAATCCTGTGAATCAGTCAATATGCATTTGTTGTCAATGTTGATAACACGTTTGAATTTTTGTGATTCAAAATTGTAAATCTTATCTAACCGTGCCCTTCTAGGTATTATTTGTTTTGATCCTTAGATCTCCATTCTTCAGAACTTCTTTCAGGCATTCCTCATTTTCTTTTAATATTGTGTTTTCGTCTCATCGCTTTTCCTATTAAGGATGAGCGATGAGAACCTATTAGGTACATTTGAACGAAAAATCCTTAAAAAATATATAAGGGGGTAAAGGAAAATGACATATGGTGCAGAAGATATAACTTGAACTATACACAGCATACAATGAACCCGAGATCACAACATCCATAAAGATCGGACGTCTGCGCTGGATGGACCATGTTGAAAGAATGTTGGAAACTGAAACGCCAAAACATATAATAAGGCAAACACCAGTAGGGAGAAGGTGAATGGGAAGACCCAAACTTAGATACATGGAACAAGTGGAACAAGATCTGAAAACACTTAAGATTACCAACTGAAAAAACAAAGCAAAGAACAGAACAGAATGGCGGAAAATGCTAGAACAAGCCAGGACCCAGAAAGGGATGTCGAGCTACTGTTGATGTTGATGATGATGATGATTTTGGTTTCGTCTATTCCTTGTATACCTGTGCTTACTATCATAACTTATTCTTCTACAATAGTCTGAAAGTCTTCTTAAGCAAAATCAGGTAATGTTAAGAATTCTGTCATATTTAATCATGAAAGAAAAATATGTTTTAACTCTTTTATTCAATTATATTTATTTATCACTGAACGATTTTTATAATCTCAAAGAACAAATAATTACATTAAAAATACTTAAATTTTCATATACAATCTTTATCGTTGCGTTCAAAGTCAAATGGAAAGGTTTATGTCACTAGCTTGTGGCACTTAGTGGTAAATAAAGTGATAGATATGATATTCAACAAGGAAATTAAATTTCATATATTTATATACTACTTACGTAGAGTTGCCGTTTAATGAAAGTTTGGAGTTACACAAATCAAGAAGAGAGAGCAAGACAAAAACGACAATAGATTT